CGTATAAGACGACTGGGCGTATAAGACGACCCCCCCCCCACTTTTCCAGTTAAAATATAGAATTTGGGAAGAGTATGACTTCCAAAACTGTTGTTTGTTGTTGCTGTGCACCTTCAAGTCATTTCCAACTGATGATGACACTAAGGCAAACCTATCATGAACCTCCTTATACCCGGCGTATAAGACGACCCCCCACTTTAACCCCAGATTTTGCAGATTAAAAAGTAGTCTTATACGCCAGAAAATAAGGTATATTGTGTATTTTGGTTGGCCAATAAAGGTATCACTGTTTGGTGGATTTTTGTGTAAATCTTCATAGAAATTTAAGTGAGGAATTCCAAGCTTGGCTTTGATTAACATTATGCAAATACTTACTGTTTGCACAGTAACACATATGAGTGTATGTATACATATAGAATTCACAGGATCTACTGCAGTTGACTTAACAATTGCAGGATTTAGGTTGATGAGTAAGCAACTTATTCTGGTGGATTCCTCAAATGACTCATCCCCAAGCTTGACCATCTTTCCTGGGCTTTGCTGCCTTCCTGAGGATAGAAAGACATAAAGAGTCAGTTTCCTGGCCTAGAGCTTAGTGTTCAGTCAACCCTTTCCTGCTTAGGCACTGGACAGATCAAGGCCATGGTGGTGGCTAGAACGGCAGTGTGCTCTGGGATTCAAGGTGTTCATGTTATTGGGGTCCTGGTCTTGCTTCTCATGCCATTGGCTTTCTTGTTTAGTGTATGTATCCTGGTTGTTAGTCACATTTGGAATTATGACAGAAGCTACAGAGCCAACTCATGGCACTTGAGACCATTCCCATGTGCCACTTGCTCCCTTTTCTTGAGGCTCATGTGCTCCTCCTCCCCTCCAGAGTTTCAGGTAATTTTAGTTTGCCATGGTATCTAAGTAACTAATGCTATTTTTTGATTAGGAATTGAAATCATTTCAAACCATGCTTACAGTTCTTTAAAGCATATTATAATTAGTGGAAATTAGATATCACAACAAATTGCAGTTACCTCTTACTATGGAAGGGAGGGAAAGATGCTTGTAATTTATGATGCTGCTGCTGATCATCCATCATTGATTTGGCAATCAGATCTGTGACCTCTGAAATGAACCTTAAGACTGGGTTTCTCCCTTGGGGAGATTTTTTTTTTCAAGCAGAGAATGTATTACTGAGCATGTAGATAAATATAAATCTTCAAAATCTCTTTGACATAAAATCAAATGTATTCTTATCTTTCCCCATATTTAATAGAAAATGGTACAGGCATCCTTCTGCTTTTTGACAACCCACTCTTTTGATGGTTCTATATTGCTATCTAGTACCGTATATTCGATGCTTGGTCCACTCTTTTTTCAGTGTTTTCATGATGGTTTTGTGTCCTTGAGCTGCTTTCTTTTCCTCCCATTCAACTCAGTGCCTTCCCCCCCCCCCCAACCTCAGTTGATTTTGCACCATTTTTTGATGTCCACCTTTTGACAGTGCTCTGGTCCCTAACCTGTCCAATAAGCAGTTGTTGTTGTTGTTGTTGTTGTTGTTGTGTGCCTTCAAGTCGCTTCCAACTTAGGGCGACCTGAAGTCAACCCTATCATGGGTTTTTCTTGCCATGATTTGTTCAGAGTTTTGCCATTGCCTTCCCCTGAGGCTGAGAGCATGTGACTTGCCTAAGGCCATCCAGTAGGTTTCATGGCCAAGCTAAGAATCAAACCTTGCTCTCCGGAGTTGTAGTCCAACACTCAAACCACTATACCACACTGGCTCTCATGAGGGCTAATATGCATTGGGTGCCTGTATTTAAATTATATAAATCAATTCTGCTGAATTGTTTCTTAAACATTTGTCCACTAGAGGTCAGTCCTGTGCTGATATTAAATCTATCTATCACAAGAGACTAGTCAGGCAGAATATGGAGGTTTATACCTGGAGAATTGTTATTTCACAATGAAAGGTTATGTGCATTTTGCCAAAAAGATCCAAAAACTGAGTTGCATTACCATAGCCCATACATGTTTTGAATCTGACATGATATTTCTGTTTATAGAATGCTACATGATAATCTTTATCAGATCATCATCTGGTATCTAATCATTTGTCTGAAACCATTGGCCAATAATCCAGCACAATCATTGCACTCAAGGAGGCAGTTTCTTCAAGTAGATGGTTTGTAGCCTTTCTCCCCCTCTAGCTCTCCTCGCAACCCATGCACTCTAAACACCTTTTTCAGAAGGCTGGCAAACTCTTTGATGCAGATTTTCAGTGCTGGAGATTGCAATAGCAATAGCAAATACATTTCTATACCGCTTATCAGTGAACTAAGCGCTCCCCAAGCGGTTTACAGTGTGTAAGCTAATTGCCCCCAACAAGTTCATTTTAACCAGCATTGCTGTGAGAATCATGCTGGATTAGGACAGTTTTATTAATTTGCAGCCCTATGTTTTTATCCTGTTTTTCTCTTCCAAAATGACTTACATCAGTTTTTTTATTTAAAAAAGAGAGAGAGAGAGAGGATTGCCACCAGTCTTACAAACTAAAGAAATCCCCAACAATCCAAGACACACAAAAGAATGAGAATGGAAGGGAAAGGTGGAAGAGGGAGCTCAAAGTCACAGTGTCAGAACAAGGTAGTTTGTTCACAAACATTTGCATCCAGTTGGGACTATGCTGGTCTTCACTTTCTGGTGGTCTCATTCAGTGCAGAGCTTGGTGAAGTTATTTTTGGTCCACAGCTGCCAGACTCCCTAAGCCAGCAGTGCCAGAGAGGATTGCAATACAACAATAACTAAGTTTCTGGGACAGAGGTGAACTGGCAGTCTTTGTTCAGGGAGATGGCTGAGGTCAGGGTGTGTTTCCTCTCACTTCTGCAGGGTAACTGATAAGTAGAACAGAGTGTTCTTTCTGGAGGATGGGGTGGAGAGGAAGCTCTGCCCAGTGGATACGGCCAGGTTAATATTTATTTATTTATTTATTTATTTATATTTCAGGCCTCTTGTTGCATGTAATGTTCTTCCTGGGAGGCAGTAGTTGCAACCTCCCAGCCAGCACATGTAAATCCCCTGGCTGATGAGGGACATCACAGCTTGTTTTCTTTCTGTTTTGGACTCCCAGGGCAACTTGTGATTGTGATACTTTGTGGAGTGAGCATAGAACAATTTTAGAGCTTCCAGGCTTAAAATTTTTAAATGATAATCTATAGTCTTGAACAGACTTGTTTAAACTCTTGCTGCTGCTTTTGTAATGGTTTTGGCTTTTTTAGTTTGGAGAACTTTCCCACAAACACTGATGAGTTGGTTTACATCAAGACTTTTTTTAAATGAAATAATCAATTTTGATGACTTTACCCCTTTTTTAGCATGTAGCTGGAGACATAATTGTTTTCAAAGAATCTCAATGAAATAATGTAGTGTTTAAGATAGGTATAAAAATAGGTTTGCAAATAATACAGTTCTTTCTCTTTTAAATTATGTTTATGAGTTTTGGACAACTAGCATGGGATATGACTAGACTCCCCCCCCCCCCCCCCGATAGTATTTGCTGTCTTTATCGCAGAGCATGGGAGATACTAGCGTGGCTTCTTATAGGAGTGCATGAACTTCTCTCATTTCATAGAATTCGATGTCTCCAAACATATAATTAGAATTAGAAATATAGATGCAAGATAGTCTACTCAGTTGGTTTTGTCAGTTAGATCAAAGTCAAAAGAATTTTACAAATGGCCAAGAAGGAAGATATTTTTATTTTTTTTAAAAAAAAGAATAACATTTATATTTATATACCACTTATCAGTGACCTCAGCACTCTCTAGGCATTTTACAATCTGTAAGCCAATTGCCCCCAACAAACTTGAGTACTCATTTTACTGACCTACGAAAGGATGGAAGACTGAGTCAGCCTTGGAGCCCTGGGATTGAACTCACAACCTTATGGCTGCAGTAGTGTTAGGACAATAAAATGTTTCCAAGTGTTTTCTGACCTCTAGCATTGGGGAAGCACTTAGCTATCAAGTTTCATAAGGGCCCTGCCTTCCTCCTAAATGACAACAGCATTTAAGCTGGAAGATTACCAGAGAAAGTTAGACATGCAGTCTGCCATATTCTGGCTAGACAGTCAGCATGGTATGTGGTTAGAGCATTGGATTATGACTCTGGACACCAGAGTTTGAATCCCCACTTGGCCATTTAGACGCACAGGGTGACCTTAAGAAAGTCTCTCAGTCTCAGAGGAAGGCAAAAGCAAACACCCTCTGAATAAATCTTGCCAGGAAAACCCCAGAATAGGTTCACTTTAGGGTCACCCTAACTTAGAAATGACTTGAAGGCACACAAACTATTCTGCTATGGTATTATTTGGTAGTTGGGGGCACTTTTCAACTGTCACTAGTAACCAGCCACTCAGGAAATTCCAGTGCTGGGTCATGGAGTCTATTGATTATATCAATAGTATGTTTAGTGTTAAGATTTTAACCATGCAATACAAAGACATTTTTGTTTTAATACAGATTCTTGATTGGGAAAAAGTGACATGCGAGATTTTTTTTCCCTACAATCTGACATTGTGTGCAGTAACAATCCTAGAATGTCTATCTGCACTGAACCACAAATTATAAATTTTATTGCTAGTGACTGTGAGCAGGAGCTGATTGTGGAAACAATACATAAGAGACATAAATGAAACTTGTAGGAAACAATATTATTATTTAAAGATTAATAGGGAAGGCTTTACAGCGCTAAAATAACCCCTTTCACAAATAATTTGAAACAAAGGGGAAATTACATTGTAAGTCCCAGAGGCAGGAAGAAGGGGAAGGTGGGAGGAGGAAAAGAAACAGTATAAGATGATGCTGATTATTTTATTCATTTATACACCCCGCTTTCTCCCTATAATGGGACACAAGACAGCTGGGATAGATCATTGTTTTCAGCCATTTTAAAAAATATCCCCTGTTGAAAATGATATAAGGGAAGATAGGGATAATGTATCTAGTAGAAAGTGAGCTAGCGTGGTGTAGTGGTTTGAACATTGGACTATGACTCTGGAGACTGGGTTCGATTCCCACCTCAGCCATGTGGGATAACCTTGGGCAAGTCACACTCTTTGGATAACCTTGGGCAAGTCACACTCTTTCAGCCTCGGGATGGTAGTGGCAAACCTCTTCGGAAGAAACTTGCAGAGAAAACCCTTGAAGGCACACAACAACAACATCCTGTAGAAAGGATGCAATCTTTATAATGTCTAGACTGCCTTTTATTCCTCTGTCTCAGAAAATGATGGGATGTAACAATTTTGTTTGTTTCTTCTACTTTTAATGGTTCATACCTGGCCATAGCATGCTCAATTATCTCTGTGTTTTAGACCATTCATTAACATTCTGGGATAAATGCTGTACTAATGACATGGTGTCAAGGTAAACTTTGAAATGCAGAGATCCATCACAACAGCCATGCTCCAAGAATCTAGTCATACCTCCAAAAGATAGATTGATCCTGCCTTTCTATTATTTTTATTCAAAGAAGTTGGCACCTTGGCTAAAAAGTCTAGAAAAGACCATGACTTCACCACCCAAATAGTACTAAGACAGTATCACACCATAGTTTATAAGGCATGGCTGCAGCCCTGTACATAGATGTGTCGAAGTAAGGTCCATTGAATTCAGTGCCAGGCTTTAATTTTTGGATGCATAGTCATACTTTGCAAAATTGAGCTTTAACAAAAGATCTTTCACCAATTAAAATGCAAACAATCTTGAAAAGATGTATTACCCATCCAGTTTTAGGAAAGAACTAGCCAGATTCTGCATCCTTATTTTCTTCCTTTGTGCTAATCTGTCAGAAAGAGTAGTTGAAACTGAAGGACTTATTGTCATCCCATTCACTTTTCAAAATAGGGATAGTCATCAGTTTCCTAAGTGCCCCCGCAAAGGAAATGATGGTTACTGCTTTCAAATTTCCCCTTCCACCACACCATTGAATAATAATGTTTGAACAAATTATCTGTTTGTTTTTTACTTTTAAATTGATATTGATACAAGCTTATAATACATCAAATATGCTGTAAAGGTGTGGTGATGTGTTGTTGTTGTTTTGTTTATTTTTTTGTATATTTACAGATTGCTTAGAATTTTCTAGGTCCTATAGAAAGATTAGAAAATATAATAGACTTGGACATAGGCTTGCAGTTTAGTAGACAGACCACAAATGGAAAAGAGAATGAGAAGAAAAGAGAAGACAAGCTCCAGTATCAATTCTTGGTTACTTCGTTCAGCGGGGAAA